ACTGAGCACAGGCAGTAGCAATTAGCAGGCTCTTTCTCCTCTTGGGTTTAAGGTATGCAGATTTATTTAATGTATTACATATGAAAAGTTTTAGTTATTAAAAATCCTGTGATCGCCCTGGCCGGTGTGGCTCAGTTGGTTGGGTGTCATCCCGTACAGCGAACGGTTGCCGGTTCATCCCCTGTCAGGGCACACGCCTGGGTTTCCCGGAGTGTTCGGGCGGCAACCGATCAATGTTTCCCTCTCCCATCGACGTTTCTCTTTCTCTCTCTCCCTTCCTCTCTCTCACAGCAATAATAATGAAAATTTAAGCATACATCTTTTATTAAAAACTAATAAAGAAAATGCCAATGGGAGTGAAGGTTTTCCTCCCCTATCAGAGCTAGATACACCTTCTTCCTCTTCTTTTTTTTCTGCCTATGAAGTTAGGAAAGATTAAGCCCACGCGCACATACACACACAGAAGACAAACACGCATTGATGGTGAGGGTATGGGGGAGGGAATGTTCCACTGGCAAACAGTGTTGGTAAAGGTGTGAATGCAGAGAACTGTTTGGAAGATAAAGGAGCAATTAGTATCCGAGGACTTCGTGGATTGTTCCCTTGGACCTGGCAATTCTGTGCGGATCGGGAGAGTCTAAGGAAGTCATTAGCGATGCACAAAAGTTTGGGGAGCAGGATGGTCATTTCTAGTGGCGAATGTGGAATCGGCCGTGGGAAACTAAAAGCTGAATTGGGTTTCCGGGTGACGAAGGTCGGGGAAGCAGGTGGCAGAGTATGTCTTTCTTGCTCCGGGGCAGCTGCGTACAGTGATGTCACATCGGGTACGTGATCTGTGTGCAGTGACGTCACACCGGGCGTGTGATCTGAGCCCCGGATCCTGCAGAAACCGAGATGAGTTTAACAAACTACAGACGATCTACCAATGAAATGTCTAAAACTCAAGAACTGCACTAAACATTTTTGCTAAGAGTCTAAAATTCCTTTGAATTTCTCATTTTCCCGTGTGAGGACTCTACCACAAATGGCAATGTGTTACCAATGATTTTAACATTCTTCCATTCTTCCACTCACCAGTGGACACGGCAATAACAAAAACAAAACCTTCCTAAAGTCCATTCTCACATGAAGTCGCTGGGGTCCGCACAGCGGTGGCCTCGTGGGGTGGACACATTGCTCAGTGCGCATGGGCGGTCCCGTCCGGTGCTCCCAGGGAATTTCCAGCCCCGATCCTCACACCGTCACCCAGCGGGCACTGTTCTGTCCCCGAAAGTACAAACAAGTAAACTGAGGCACAGGTTGCTTAAGGAATTTGCCCAGGTGCCCCGCCCGGAACTGGCAAGGCCGGAGCTGGAACCGGCAGGCAGCTTTCAGATGCCTCCTGCTGCTAAACGCGCGGTCAGGTTCCCATGCGGACACGGAAACTACGGAACCTCCATGAACACTGGAGACGCGCTGACTGGGCTTGGGTCCATGGGAGCGGGGGAGGAGGGGAGAGGTCATTACAAGGCTCACGAGGAGGCCATGATTGGGTTTGGGGTCCATGGGAGCGGGGGAAGGAGGGGAGAGGTCATTACAAGGCTCACGAGGAGGCCATGATTGGGTTTGGGGTCCATGGGAGCGGGGGAAGGAGGGGAGAGGTCATTACAAGGCTCACGAGGAGGCCATGATTGGGTTTGGGGTCCATGGGAGCGGGGGAAGGAGGGGAGAGGTCATTACAAGGCTCACGAGGAGGCCATGATTGGGTTTGGGGTCAGTCGGAGCAGGGGAAAGAGGGGGTGATGATTGGGGTTTGGGGGGAGCCGGGGAGGGGTCAGGCTGGCGAAGAACATTGGAGGCCAAGTGCACAGTCAGGTCGGAAGGGCAGACGGAGGAGCACCTGCTTGTCCCCGAGGCTGGAGAGGGCGAGGGGGAGGGTGGGCCGGAATGAGGAGGCAAGGCTCCGTGCTCGCTCGCCCTCACCCTTACTGCGGGGCTGACTTAGCTTTTTTTTTTTCTTTTCTTCCCGTGAGAAATGAAGAAGCGAGGGGGCTGCGTGGCAGATGACGTGACCAGGTTGTTTCCGAAAGTGCCCTCACTGGGCAGCGGTGGGGGAGGTGATCGGACACCGGAGGGCCCGGGGGTCCAGGAGACCCGCTGGGAGGCAGAGCCGCAGCTGCGGCGGGTGGAGAGGAAGGGGAGAATTCAGGCTCTGCTTGTCAGATGTGAGGGCCGCAGGGAACAGCGATGGAACAGAGCTGCCCAAAGCGAAAGGCCCAACTCGCACGCATGCATTTCAGAGGGAGGTACCCGCCGAGTAAACTGCTTCTCAGCGGACCCCTGACATTCCAAAGCGGGAACCTTACTTTTTCCCTTCCTTCTATCTCCCTCCTTACAACAGCGCCCTGAGTCACAACGGTCCTGTTTTCTCCGGAAAATAAACAACAGAGGGAAGATGAGACGAGTTTCTCCTCCTTCTCTCCATCCTCAGATGCCTCTGAGCTGGGGAAGGACGCTGAGTCCAGGCTGTCCCTGCGAACCCTGTTTTTTAAAACCTAAAAACCGCTTTTAAAGGACAGACCTGATTCTGATTTAGAAACTCAAACACTCTTAAAAAAAAATCTTCATTTCTCCCCTCTATCCTCGAAGTGGCCACTTTAATTTTTTAAAAACACCTAAAGGGATACAATTATACATGTTTGCTCCGGGGCACAATTCAGGGCCAGGCTGGGTGTCTGGGTCCATAGGAAATGTGCCTTTGTGTTCTCTAAGCCACAATTCAGTTCTCACTCGGGCAGCAAGTGGTCAAAATAATTTTCAAAGACATTCTAGTAGGAACAAATAGATACATATTTAAATTAAGTAATAAAAGCCTTAGAAACTACTAAAAACACTAAAAGAAGAAAACGCCCCACAATTATCCCCAAAGAACCGACAGCTGCTTCTGAAAACCCCACACAGAAGGTGCGGATGACAGGCCGGGGGCGTGTCACATCTACTGCTCTCCAGGCCGGACCGGAGGAAACCTCTGTTGGAACCCAGCCCCCTCACCCGTCCGGCCGCCCTGGCCCGGAGCTGGGTCCAGCCTAATTACACCCGGAGAAGACCCTGTCTCTCCTCTCCCAAGACGCCGAGGTAAACCTGGAATTGTAATTTGCTGGGCGGCCTGGACGGAGCGTAGCTTTTGCACCATCCCCTGAAGTAAAAGTTAAGTGTACCAGGGAAAGGCTTTGATGGAAATAATAGACGTCGAAGCAATGACAAAGAAAGCTATTTAAAAAAGAAAAAAACTGTGCATTTGAAGTATTTTGTCTAACCAGTCACATCCCCTTTTAGTAATAACTGCTGTTATGGAGTACCAATGGGAACAAGTAACGGTACATGGGCTTTGAAGTCAGACAGAGCACCACGGCTTAGTAGCTGTGTGACCTTTGGCAAGTTGCTCAACCTCTCTGATACCTCATTTCCTTCATCTGCAAAATGGTGGTAATTATACCTACCTTTTAAAATATGTGTTTATTGATTTCAGAGAGGGAGAGAGAGCTAGATAGATCCATCAATGATGAGAGAGAATCATTGATCGGCTGCCTCCTGCACACCCCTTACTGGAGATCGAGCCCATAGCCGGGGCATGAGCCCTGACCAGGAATCTAACAGTGACCTCCTGGTTCATGGGTCAATGCTCAACCCTGAGCCACACTGGCCGGGCTGTGCCTACTTTTAAGAGATGGCACAAAGACTAGCACAATGTCTGGCACATAATTGGCTCCCATAAATGGTTTGAAGGTTCTCTATCGATTTTGTATTTCTATAAAATCAACTATTAGAGATTTTCCTCCTTTTAGCACTAAGTGAGGCAAAGTAGATGCTTCTCTTTCTGACTGCCCAACCCTACCTCATCTGATCATTTTTATCACAGCAAACACAAAACGAAACACTTGAGTGCTTACTGCATGCAGCCAGCATCATGCGAGGGGCTATTGTCGCTACAAGAGAAGAGAAGGTGGTCTCGGCCACCACAGGTCGCAGTGCAAGCAAGGAGGTGAGACTCAGAGACGAAAGCTACAGAAATATCCGGTCCAGCATGAGCCTGCCTGACACGGGCGAATTGCCACGGTGAGTCACCAGTGGGAAAACTGACGGGTCAGAGCAGGGACTCTCAGCTCCCTGTGGGGAAGGACCCCTTCTGCTTCCATCGCCAGCCCATCAGGAGCCAACATGTGGTCCTACTGTCCGTGACTGTCGCGCAGCTCAAGCTGAGCCCAAACTCATCATGTGCCCACAAGGCTAACTCAGGGGCCACACGCGTGGATGTTGGGGTCCACGCATGTGGATGTGGCTAAACTCCCCAGAGTCTCCAAACACTCACTCTCAACCTCTACTCATCTCGCCGCAGACGTAACAAACAGTGTTTGAGACAGTTTTGAACGAGTCATCAGTGCATTCGTCTCTGAGTCGCCCTGAGCTGGACCAAGGAGCATCCAGAGAGAGCGTGGGGGCGGACAGGCAGGTGTCCGAGCTGGATGAGCCCTGCGCATATTGGAGATATTATTTTTTTAAATATATTTTTATTGATTTCAGAGAGGAAGGGAGAGTGAGAGAGAGAAACATCCATGATGAGAGAGAATCATTGACCGGCTTCCTCCTGCACGCCCCACACTGGGGATCGAACACACAACCTGGGCATGTGCCCTGACGGGAATCGAACCAGGACCAAGCCTTGGTTTATAGGTCAACACTCAACCACTAAGCCATGCCGGCCGGGCGTGGGGAATGCTTTTTATCATAACTGGAACAAATAAGTAGAATTCAGGGCAGGTAATGATATGCCTCGAGACTATCTGCTTTTCACAAAGCGAGGGAACGGCTCTTCCCATAGGGAACTCAAAAACAAGGAAAAGGAGAAGAACTTGGAGTTTTCCAACCTCCCCCGCCCCCACCTGGCTTATCAGCTAAAGGAACAGCATCCAGAAGAGCCCTCCTCGCGAGAACAGTCAATATTCCACGTGTGTGCACACCCCTCAGGGTCCCTTAGTCATCGAGGGAAGGGGACGGCCAGGAGTGCCAGGTTGGGGTGAGGCTCGGCCTGCTGGGAGCTACGCGCTCAGGCTCTGAGCACACAGCCCGGGTCAGACCCTGGCCCTCCAGGTGCACGCTGTGCAACCCGGCTCACCTGCAGAGCGGGGACAACCAGAGCACCCCAAAGGGCTGTGTGAGGACGGGGTGGGCGACACATGTGCATCTCAGGCCCGTGCCTGGCGCGCTGGCCCCCGGGACTATGACTCCTGCCGGGGTCAGGCTCTGCCCCCGCTTTCAGAGGCATCTAGGGCGCTTACCCACTGCTCTGAGCTCGGGCGCTGAGCTGCTGGTCTGCAGGCGCCCTCGGGCAGAGCCAGGCACTGAGAAGTGCTCCCCCTTTGGCCCCTCGTACCAGTCAGTTGCTACTCGCACCCCCTGAAGCCCAGGTCACAGGCGGCATGGCCCATCCGCACGTTGGCTGCAACAACTGGGAACTGGCCCGACCGCAGGGCGTAGAAACCGTCTCCTGTGTTTTGATCAAACGTGGCTCATGGTCTCCACCGAACAAACGAGAGTCAGGGGGCGAGGAGTCCAGGCCGGCCCAGTGGGTGCTGCACGTGGTGGAGTCCACAGGAGGCGGGAGGAAGAGAGAGGACGTGCACCCACACTCTGCAGCCGCGTCCAGCATCTCATTGGTGGTGGCTCTGGCCTCCCTGGACGTGCCAGTTGCAAAGGGAGGTACAAAGACGAGCTTTAAGCTGGATACTCTGCTGATCCAAACAAAATCGGGGTTCCGTGAATAACAGAAGAGGGAAGGGTGATTATTGGGGAGGCACCCAGCAGAGAAGCTTCCACCGCCGCCACGGGGACCCCAGCACCGCCAGGCCTGGCCCAGGCCTGTATACAGTGAGCTCACAGTACATCAGCAACACTGGTGACCCCCTTCCCTGTGGGCAATGCAAGTTGCTTTCTTCTTATGGAAACTCAGACTGGAAATACTTATTTGCCTTATAAGGTTAATGCCATGAAGGATATGTGGAAAGAAACACTGGGAAAATATTTGGGGTAAAAACTTGATCCATGTGGTAAGAGAAAAACAGGGCCTAGTATTCATGAGGGATGTGCTTTCGGGTCATGGGAACCAAACATGTCACATAGGAGAAGCCAGAAATAGAACTATAGCATTTGGCAATGCATATGGGAGGTGGGGCTGCCTTTAGATACGGCTGCCTTTTTCTCTTCTCCGCTTTCTCTCCTCTCAGCAAAAGAGAGACACGTCTCTTCTTTAAAATATATTTTTATTGATTTCAGAGAGAAAGGGAGAGGAAGAGAATCACTGATTGGCTGCCTCCTGCACGCCCCCTCCCCCACTCCCACTGGGGATCGAGCCCACAACCCAGGCATGTGCCCTGACCGGGAATCGAACCCTGACCTCCTGGTTCATAGTCAACGCTCAACCACTGAGCCACCCTGACTGGGCAGGAAGAGAAATGATAAAAATCCTATTTTCCTTACACCCTTGTACCTCGTTAGGTTCTGGGGCCTTCCCAGTCCGTGGCAGGGTGGGCGGGTGCTGCTGTAAACCCCCGTCAAGGGCGTCGGGGCGTGACAGAGAGGAGAGGATGGCCTTGGCCCGCGTGGCACCTCTGCGCCAGTTGGGGTCGTGGAGCAAGGCAACAGAGAAATAAACAAAAGCCCTGGCCCACCATGAACGTATAGCTAAGCGGAGCAACAAATCAATGTTCTCTCTCTCTCTCTTTCTCTCTCTGTCCCCCTCCTTTCTTCTCTCCCTTTCTCGCTCTCTCCAACATCAATCAAACAATAAATGTTGGGGGAAAAGAGAAACAAATTCCTTACTAGTGATCAATGCTGTGAGGTGCTGTGACACTGAACCATGAGACGAGGTCTCATCTACCGCCACCCAGGGATGAGGAGGCCACCATCAGAGCTCAGGGAAGGAGCGCCAGGTGGCCAGAACATCGTGGGCCAGGGGTCCACTTCTCTGATCACCTCTCCTGCTACCTGCCTGCACTCACTGGCCAACCCCACTGTTACCTGAACACTCCAAACACACGCTCGCCTCAGGCCCTTTGAATGAACTAGCCTCCCACACTCTCCTTAAACACTCTTCCCTACATCTTCTTGCTCCCTCCGACTCAGATCTCTGCTCCATAAAGCAAGAGGGAAATGGATGAGGCCACAGTCACGTTCACTCTTGGATGAATTCCACACACATTTATTGAGTGCCAGCTGACGGCCAGGCCCCGTCCTCGCCCTCCCTGGGAATATAATGGTGAGATATAAGGTGAATTTCCTGCTCCCATAGGTCCTACATTCTAGTTGGAGAGATGGTCAGAAAACAAACATAAAATGTCAGGTGGTGGTTCGTGTGAGTGGGTGAGAGTTTTCATTGCAGACACGGTGGTCAGAAGGTGCCTCTCTGAAGAAGTGAGCAGAGAGCTCAGTGCTCTAAGTAAGCCATGGGAAGACAGTGGGGGGAGGGACGAGGCAGAGACACAGCAAACACAGAAGCCCTAAGGCAAAGCTATCTTTCAAAATACCACAAGAAGCTTTCTCAACAAAGCTGTTAAAAATTATATAAATCATCTGAGCTACTGGTGTTGCTCAGCGATTAGAGCATCAGTCTGTAAACCGCAGGGTCGAGGATTCGATTCCTGGTCAAGGGCACGTGCCTGGGTTGTAGGTTTGACCCCCAGCCCCAGTTGGGATGTGTGGGGGGCAACCAATCGATGTGTTTCTCTCCCATCAATGTTTCTCTCTCTATTCTCTTTCTTCCTCTCCAAAAAAATCAATGGGAAAAATATCCTCACTCCTTGGGTAAGGCTTGACAACAACAAAAATTATATTAAAAGTTTGTGTCCTCCAGAAAGATGTGTTCAAGTCCCTGCCCCCAGTGCCTTAAAATGTGATCTTATTTGGAAAAGGGCTCTGGCAGATGTAATTACTGAAGATGAGGTCACACTGGAGGAGGGTGGGCCCTTCATCCACACTTGACGATGGAGCCAAGATTGGAAGATGCAGCTGTGAGTCAGGGAGCACCAGGACTGGCGGCCACAGAGAGACGTGGCGAAGGTGAGGAAGCATCTACCTGGAGCCGTAGGACACATGGCCCCGCGGACACCTGGATTTCAGATTTCTGGCCTCTAGAGCTATGTCACAATAAATGTCTGCTGTGTTAAGCCACCCAGTTTGTGGTCCATTGTCATGGCAACCCTCGGAAACAAAGATGCCTATCAGACAGCCAAGGTCTGAGTCGAGGGCAGAGTTGAGGGCTGAAGACGTACATCTGGAGGTAGGACTATAACACCTTAAGCACACAGACCGAACGTCACTATCCAGCAAAACCCAACAAGGTGCTGCCCGCAGACGGCAGCGGTGGGAGCAACAGGCTGCTGTGTGTTCTAAGACACCCGCACAAAATGAAGAAGAGCAGAGCGGGCCACCGTAGTATTGGGTTATATCGATGCCACAGCAGCAAACAGCAGAGAACATCGCCATGTAATGAGACCATCAGACAATACAAAGGTAACACTTAAGCCATGATCCGATCCTATATAATAAAGAGGTAATATGCAAATTGACTGTCACATCCTCACACAAGATGGCCGCCCCTATGTGGTCACAAGATGGCCAGCAGGGGAGGGCAGTTGGGGTTGACCAGGCCAGCAGGGGAGCAGTTAGGCATCGATCAGGCTGGCAGGGAGTGGTTAGGGGCAAGCAGGCAGGCAGGCAGGCAAGCGGGTAGTAACCAGCAGTCCTGGATTGTGAGAGGGATGTCCGACTGCCGGTTTAGGCCCGATGGCAGTCGGACATCTCCCGAGGGGTCCCAGACTGGAGAGGGTGCAGGCTGGGCTGAGGGATATATTCCCCCCCACCAAGTGCATGAATTTCGTGCACTGGGCCTCTAGTTAATATCATAAAAATGTCTTAAACAGGGGAAATGCAGCAACTAGACATATGTAATCGTTACCAGTCACCTTGTGATATAATTAAACCTCAAAGAGTTAGACAAATAAAGCAGCCCAGGGCGATACAAGTGGGATAGAATTAGCAGGTATAAAAGGAGAAAAGCAGCGCATAAAACAACGAGCTTCCTTTCAGGTACACAGGAATCTCTAATAAAAAGCTGTCAAATTCTAGAACAGAATTTAGTCATATTCTCAGATACAAACCACAACAAAAACAAAAAAGGAACATAAGGAATAGATTACCTTGACATCATTAAAACTTGCAAACTATTCATTTAAGCATAATCCACGGACACAGACAGTAGGGGAGTGAGGGCATGTGCTGGGGGGTGGGAGTGGCTGGGGAGAGGTCAATGGGGGGAAAAGGAGACACATGTAAGACTTTAAGCAATAAAGAATTTTTTAAAAACTTACAAACTATAAAACATAAAGTTCAGAACATGTCAGACCATCATTACAGTAATACGGACAAATGTAAGACCTCAAAGCTATAAAACTGCCTTAAATTTAAAATCATGTCCATGAGCAACATGTGCCCGGAGATGCGTCACCCCCTGATGGCCATGGTGGGCGTGGCTGGTTGGTGAGGCCCAGTGTGTCCTTCCCAGAGCTGAAGCTCGCTTTTTAAAAAATATGTATTTGTATTGATTTCAGAGAGGAAGGAAGAGGGAGAGAGAGAGAAACATCAATGATGAGAGAGAATCACTGATGGGCTGCCTCCTGGGGACCGAGCCCGCCACCCGGGCCTGTGCCCTGACAGGGAATCAAACCGGGACCTCCTGGCTCATAGGTCGACACTCAACCACTGAGCCACGCCGGCCGGGCCCAGCTTTTCATAAAGAAGCTGCTACAGGAACTTCACTCAGTGGTGTGTGTTTTTTCTCTTTCCAAAAAGTCTGTTAAGATGCCCGTTCTTAAAGAAATCTCATTGCATCTAAACTCCAGGTCCAGATTTTTATTCCAGGGGCCTGCCGGTCGCAGTTAAGACTGTGCAGAATCCATTCACCCGCGATGGTCCTCGGGGCG